CAGCAGATTGATAGTGAGGGGGGCAGAGAAACATTTATCACCCAAATGGATGTCAAAAGAAAGCTAGATTTTTTTTTTTTTTGGTCTCCTATTGTTTTTATCTTACTTTGATATCAGGGTAATATTGGTCTCATGGAATGATATTTAGTATCATTTAGTATGGTTGGCATATAAAATTGTTGAATCACTATATTGCACACCTGAAACTAATATAACACTATTAACTATACTGGAATTAAAATAAAAAAACTTAGTTTAAAATAAAAACAAAACAAAACAAAACAAAACAAAAACAAGGAAAACTGTGGGATGCCTGGGTGGCTCAGTTGGTTAAATGTCCGCTTTAGGCTCAGGTCATGATCACAGGGTTCTGGGATTGAGCTCATGTTGGGCTCCCAGCTCAGCAGGGAGCCAGCTTCTCCCTCTGCCTGCTGCTCTCTCTGCTTGTGCCCTCTCTCTCTCTATGTCAAATAAATAAATAAATAAATAAATAAATAAGATCTTTATAAATAAATAAACAAAAATAAATAAAAAGAAAGAAAGTTGCTAAGAATAAAAGGTACTAAACATGACAACACAAATGTATGTCATATATTCTATTACATTGAAAAGGATTAGAGAAAATATATTTTTATTTATTTTTTAAGATCTCATTTATTTAAATATTAAATTAAAAAATAATAAAAAAATTTAAAACTTTAAGTTGTTTTTTTAAAAGATCTGTTATTTATTGGAGTGAGAGACAGAGAGTGACAGAGATAGCAAGAAAGAACACAAATAGGGAGGAGAGGGGGAAGCATACCCGCCCTGAGGAGGGAGCCCAATAAAAGGACTCCATTTCAGGACCCTGGGATCATGATCTGAGCTGAAGGCAGATGCTTAACCGACTAAGTCACCCAGGTGCCTCCAAAAATATATTTTTTAAATCACAACATGTGGAAACAGTTATGGTACATAATTCTTTTCTCACTGATTTTTATCACATAATGGAAATTTTTTAACATAAACTTGCCATGATTATTGGGAGATGATATATAATGGCTCTACAAAGATACATGTATATATATTATGGGCAAGAAATGCTAAGGTATTAATAAAATAAAATTAAAGAGATCAGAGTTTATAGTAAAAATATAATGATAAAACACTATGACATTAGCTTTTACTTAGAGATGTCTTTTTGTCTTTGTTTTAGACTACAATGACTATTTTACTTCTCTTAATGAATTTAGTTTCTACTGAAGTGTTTCAAGCTGGTTTAAAAATACACATTACACCTTTTCTTACTTCCTGTGACATCCCTTATCTGCCCAGAGGTAGAATTAACGAGACTTCATGGATGGTATAAGATAAGAGGTGAGAGAGGAATCCAAGATATTTTCCAGATTTCCTTTTTGGGAAACTGGGTAGATGACAATTCTTTTCATAGAAATGGGAAAGAAAAAGGTAAGTTTGTGGGAAAATATTGTGAGTTCAGTTTTAATGTATTGGAACTTGAGAAGTTACTGTGCTATCAAACAGATATGCTGATATGATTCTCAACAATGAGATCCTAAGAGGACATACTGATTTGAGTGTCACTAGATATAAATAATCTCTGAGGCTACAAGAGTAGATGAGTTCAAGCATGAAGACTGTGGACAGTAAAGAGGGAAACAAAAGAAGTTATTGAGTAAATATTAACTCTTGAAAGGCATATCTGGGAAAAGGGAGGACTTACAGCAAAGAAAAGGGTTAATGAGAACTTGCAGATGGGTAAGGAAGAAGGGGAGTTGCCATAGGAAGTCTACCCAATTAGAGAAATTCCAATTAAGAAAATCTTGAAAGTTTGAGAAGTGGGTTCCTATGTCATAAACACAGCATCTGGTTTATGCAGAGACAAATTACCCACCTTGTTAAGATCCACACCTCAACTCATCTTGACACTTGGATTCTATGATTCGTGGCTTTTCTACCCGCAATTTTAAATATAAAGTTGCTTAAAACTTCACCTGTGTTCTGGGAAGGTAGCAAATTAACTTTCTCTTTTTTCCCACTTTTCTCTCAACATCTAACAACTCAGACACCTTTATGAAGTGGTTGACTGCTCAGAACACAGAACAAGGAAAATTCAATCCAAAACAAAACAGCAAAACTGGGGATGCCTGGGTGGCTCAGTCATTAAGCATCTGCCTTCAGCTCAGGTCATGATCTCAGGGTCCTGAGATCGAGCCCCACATGGGCGCTCTGCTCAGCAGGAAGCCTGCTTCTCTGTCTCCCACCCTCTGGCTAGTGTTCCCTTCTCACTGTCTGTCTCTCTCTGTAAACTAATAAATAAAATCTTTTTTAAAAAAGAAGGAAGGAAGGAAGGAAGGAAAGAAGGAAGGAAGGAGGGAAGGAAGGAAGGAAAGAAAGAAAACACCAAAACTCATTGCTGTGCTTGTTTAATTTTCTTTATATCAGGTCATAAAGAGATACTAGAACACAAGGATAAAGAGCCTAATGCCAGGTAACAGTGAGCTGTTTTTGTGTTTTAGATAAGCTAGATTACATGTACTATGATTGTTGGGGTAGAATTTGATCCCCAAAATATCCTTGAATTTAAAGGAGTTGTCTATCGAGTGGGAGTCCTGTGAAGAAAGCAACAATTAATAAATCATTAGGGATTTACTGAGTTGTGGCAGGCAAGCCTCATTTTATTTCTTATTTTTTATGAGAGTTCACTAACCAATACATTAAAGGAATGATGTAGACACATTACATCTATATTTCAGCATGGTATTTGACATGAGATTTTCAAACATAAGAGGTAGAGAATTGGTTCCTGGATAACGGAATATTTAAATGGATTCCTTTACTGGTTCAGCAGTGTTGGGCTTTTAAATTAGAACAGGGCTCAAATAAATGGAATCAACAATTATGAAGGCTTTTATATTAAAGATTTAATGAAAGCCAGCTAGTCTGGTAAATCCTGAATCTGTCATTGAATATCTCACCACTTCCCTGTCCGGCTTCAGATTTGAATGGAGGCTTGAGTCCAGTTAAATATGAGCTCCTATGGTAAGGAATAGGGGTGGGGAGCACTTGATTTATTCTCCAATCAAAGGAAGTTACCTGGTATATTGCAAAAAACAACTCCTATGGGGTTTTTGGTTCACACATGCAGAAACAATATGGGTTAAATGATTTTCACTCTAACTATTCAATCTCCCCCTCGTATCTTCATAATATATCTGGCTGCTCAACACTAAGGACTCTATTGAGAGAGAAAAAAAAAAAAAAGTAGCAAGCATATGCATGACTAAAGAATTCCATCATACAGTGACCATAAAGGTGTGACTCTATTTCTCCCAAGATATCAACTGGACAGGGTATTTTTGGAGGTATTCCGTATGACATGAGGTATCCTTTCTTCCTATTTATTTGGCTCTTTGATTCTCTATAACAGCCCCTCTGAATTATTTCACTCTTTGACCTTTCCAGAAGAGAAATATTTAGATAAGATCATTGGCTATAACTTTATGTCACTTCAAACCCTTGATCCAGACAATCCTATCTACAGCATCCCCATGCATACACATATTTGTGTCCATAAATGTATAAACACACTCACCGACTTGCAGTATACACAATTTCTATCCAATCTAATGCTTAAAATGAGGATTGTTAGAGCCTTTGAGTACCCAATACAGCTTCTGAGAGTATTTGGAAATAGAAGAAAGCAGAGGATTTCTAGAACGAGGGTTCCCAAAGTTCCACTAGAATATATATAAAGACTATACACACAGAGAGAATATATACATTTTCACCTATTTTAAAATTTCTTTTGTGAGCATTTCATATTTTTACTATTATTTGTCGATCTAATAATGATAGTGATGAATGAATGTAATTTATAAATAATGTCCATATACCATAGTATATATTTAACATTTTTAACTGATGGACTTAACTGTTCCATCAAAAATTTGAAGATCATAGCTCCAAAGCATGCGAGGCCATGAGAAATACTTTAAAAACTGTAGGTTAGAAAAATTGGAAAATTTCAAAGTAATTAATTGTGACCTAAGTATAACACATAAATCCAAATCTAAGTATAACATATAAAATATAATATGATATTTTAAGGCATGAATGTGTGTGTTTAAGACAGAGAAAGAAAAAGCTTAACTGGTTAGTTGAGGGAAGAGTTGTTCAAAAACATGAAACCAGGATACATTAATGTCACTTATATAGAGTAAAATAATAATAAATTAAAACCAAAAAAGCATGTATTTGGCTTTATGGAATAAACTACATAAGAATTACTTAAATTTAAAATTGAATTTCAACCTCCAAAATAAATATTCCGTATTACCAAAATTGACAGAGTTTATTAGCCTTTTAAATTTTGTTTAGAATTTATTATCTTTTACTTGACTGCTGGCTCAGACTTATTCATGGATGCTCATTCAACTAACGTTTATAAGCCATGGGGTCAATTAATAAAATGTCTTTTTAAAAATTATCTATAGGGGCACCTGAGTGGCTCAGTCAGTTAAGCATCTGTCTTTGGCTCAGGTTATGATCTCAAGTCCTGGAATCCAGCCCTGGGCTGGGATCGCTGATCAGTGGGGAATCTGTTTCTCCTTCTCCCTCTGCCCCTCTCCTAACCTCCCCCTAGCTTGTGCTTGTTCAGACTCTCTCTCTCTCTTCTTCTTCAAGAAAGAAATATAAAATTTAAGAAAATAAAAAATAAATAAAAATTATCTATATGTAATACCACCACCATTTCAGAATTTCAAAAAACATTACTATTTTGCATTCTCCACATAGTTTTAATATTACAACAATAGTTTTTGGTACTACTCCTATTAGTAGATTAATTTAAAACAAAACAAAATCCTGATGTTACAAATTTTGTTTGAAAAAAATGTCTTTCTCTGCTTAGCCAGGCAATGATGTTAACTTGTCTTTAATCTTCCTTGTTTTGTATTACAATCAAGCCTTTAAAAAGAACAATTAGAATGAGTGAGACTTACCAATATATAGCCTTTCTCTACAAAATGATTAATGGCTGGAGGATGAAAAGTGTCAAACCCCTCGGGATTTCCCTGAAAGAAAAAAATAAAGGGAGAAACACGTTTTGAATTCACATTTTTTGGTAGCTATTTAATGCTGATGAGATAAATCTAAGTCACCTGATGAGAAGAAAAGGAACACAGTAAGAGACCCCTTAAAGATTAATGAAACTGACCAGTTAATGCTAAGAAATAATACCATCAGAAAGGTTTCCTTGATATAAAATATTATGACCCATTACATTTAAAGAATGAATATAATTTTTAAATTTTTCTTTGATATAAAAATTTATGCTATAGGTTGTTAACTTGACTAACCACAACTCCATTTTTTTAAATGGCATTTTACTTTATTAAAACATATTTTTTTCTATATATGATCTCTAAATCTGTTTTTTTCTTGTGTTGCATAAGAAAATGAACCACTCACAACTTTTAATTCAGATATGTTTTCTCATAGATTCAGAAAACACCATCTATCAAATTATGTTTATTAGCTATAGAATTCTTGTCCCACATTCAAGTGACTGTTGTACTCTAGAACAGTTAACAGCTTTCAAATTAATAGCATGGCACTAAACATAAAATATTTGAGGCCATAACTATAATAAACAGTGTGTATCAAAAACCTTTAATATATCAGGATAGAAAATATGCAAGTCAATAGTTGACTATTGACCAGATAAGTGAAGGTCAAAGAAAAGTCAGATATAATTCAATGTTTCAGTTAAAGTTATACATTTAGCAACATAAAATTGAACTGGTTAACAAAGGTCAGGTAGTTCCATCAACTGCTTAATGATTACTGGACCATTTGCTCCTGAGGTCCAAAGAGAAATAAGCAAAATTTCTACCATTTACTGACCATAAAGAATTGGGCAATTAGGGATCATCATGATTTCTCACATCTAATCCAAATGCTCCCTCCTATACACACACAAGCTTTTTGCATTTCCTTCTTCTTAGAATGTCCCCTTGCCACCTATTCAAACATTATTAATTCTTTCTAAACCAAACTCTAAACTAAGCTAATTTATGGAACCATAATTTCTTTTGCATTCAGAGGCTCGTTTCAATATTAATACATACTGCATCAGATGTTTTCCATATATGTGTCTTCTTCGCTCAACTAAATGTTTAGTTCATAAGAACAGAAATCATGCTCTATACTTCTGTGTGAATTCAGAAAGTCAGAATCTAGTAGAATTCTAACTGCTTAGTAGGAAAAACATGTATCTATTTTGATTATTTACTTAATTGATGAGTCTTGCTACTCTACACTATCTCTGAAATGATTAATGTCAAAAATTCCATTGAGTGACCAAGATAGGACTTTTGATTTTGAAGGGAAGGAACTGCTAGTCTGTCTTATTTGACAAACAGTCTTGCTCAGGACTAAAGAAAACCATATTACAACTATTTTATTTCCTACATGCCTTTAATGGATAATGTTAAATTCTTACAAGGTATTACCTTTGGCTAAACTTACAAACTAAGCAAAATAACATTGAGTAGTAATTGTGTGCTAGATGGTGTGTGTGTGTGTGTGTGTGTGTAATGTTGATCATTTCTTTTCATGATTAGATGCAAACTAAACGTCTAATAATTTCCCTTCTTTTCAGATGAGGAACCTGAAACAGAAATATTTTGAGTTATTTCCCCAATGTCTGCTAGTCAGTAAAAGGTAAAGATGGGATTTAAATGCAGGCAGTCTGACTCAGAGCCTTTCATTCTAACTCCAATAATATGCTACCTGTGTTTACAAATCACATATGCTAGATAAAGGGGAGGAAAATTTTAGAAGAAAGGAATGAAAAAGATAGTTTACATATTGTCAAAATGTGAAACTAACATTTTTAAAAAAACCAGCAACAATTCCTAAACAATTCTACTCTTCACGCTCGTAACCCAATGTACCGCAGGCAGACTTAGAATCAATGTTCTCATGTAAATGAGCCAAACGGTTTAAAACTTTTATGTAGATATAGGAATATATTTCGAAGTTTAGAAAAAATGAACTTTCTTAGATATTTCATGGGTACTCAACATTATCAAAATCTTTTATGTTAGAATTTAAATTGTGCAACTTAATTTTAAGTAAGATTTAAAATAGCTTTTAATTTGATCTGTATTTTTACTGCTCTGTTCTTGAACATCTTAAGCATTTTTATATTACCATTAACAAATACATCATGTGTAAGAACTGAGTATAATTTTGAGCTTCTAGTGGTACAAAGGTCACATTTCCCTAAAGGAGCCCTTTTCCCTAAAGTATGCACATTTATAGAATAAAGTAATATTTAATAATAGTGGTGTTCAAAATTATGCATGAAGATACTCTTACCCTTTCTTTCTAGAAGCTGATTCACAAGTTATTATGTCTTATAAAAAAAAGATTGTTCTGGGATTTATAGTATGCAGTTAACTTTGAGGTAGATATCTTGGACAGAATCCCCCTGTTTAAAGGTTAGGAAAAATGCGTCTCAGGCATGTTGAATCACTGCCCAATGTTACTCAAGTTATTCTTAGAAGAGTTTGGGTTTTTCCTCTGTTCTTTAAACTGGGTTTCACGTTGTTCCTTTTTGTTGTGCTTCTTTTGTGTTGTATTGTTATCATTTTCTAATACTTCATATTTTGCTTTTAGTTTTTACAGAAAAATTGAATAACAGACTCATACACACACACACACACAAGATCAAGTAAGTTATTTAAAAATATGCAATTTGTGCTTAAACCATGATTTACACAAGATCTGCCATTATAAATTTAGAAGATCATTAACAATTCCTAGTATGTACTAATTATTTTAAAAAGTTTCATGAGTATCAATGTTACAAATTAAAATCCTATTCCATGGCCACTAATTTTAAATCTTAGAACTCTAATGCTGACTTTAAAATATGGTGCAAACAGGACTGCCTGGGTGGCTCAGTCAGTCAAGCAGCCAACTTTTGGTTTCAGCTCAGATCAGGATCTCAGGATTGTGAGATGGAGCCCCGTGTAAGGATCCATGCTCAGTGGGAAGTCTGCTTGGAATTCTCTTACTTCTCTATCCCTCTGCCTCTCTCTGTCTCAAATAAAAATAAAAATGTTTTTAAAAATGTTATAAACATTGATGTTATAAACATCAATAACAGGAGAATCATAATATGGTGAAAGGTGAAAATTTGTAAAGTATGCCTTCTCTATCGTGAAATAAATTATAGAAAAGAGGGAATTTCTGAGGGTTATAAAGGTATACAATAATAGGAAAAAGTGAAAATATTAAAAAAGTATGTGTACTTCCTTTGAAAGTTCTTCAGTCTTTAGTAATAATTCTGTGAACATATTAAAGATAATAAAATACATGTGTAATGAAAAGATAAATATAATATAATGCTTCCATAACAGACTGTAAAATATAATCATGAAAGCAATTGGCCACAATTCACAGATAAAACTAAAACTAACTCTATACCTCACTGAAATTCTTTCTTATAATTATTTCATATTATTCAACCTCTACTTTTTCCTCTAGATCATTTCTTCAGCATAACTATTAGTTCCTTCTTCTGACTCTTCCCCAAGTCTTCTTCAGTCTCCTCCCCTCTTCCTCCTTCCCTTTCTGAGTTGACTTCAGTTAGACATCTTCATATACCCTCTCTCTAACCAAAACCCTTATCACCACAGCCTTCCTGCATTCTCACTCTTTCTAATTGAAAACTCTAAACTAACCCAACAGTTCTTTTCCTCCATTCTAGACCTTCCTTTTCCCAACCTGACAATCTGAATTCCTTATTAATGAAATTCCTAAGTAATGACTTCTATATTAATAATAAAAATCTACTTTGTCTGAAACGTTGGGTTGGAAAAGTATTAGTAAATAAATGGCAGTAAAATGACATGCTTCTTTCTGATGATTAACTACAGAGTATTGCCAAATAATCAGAAAGCCTACATCCTCATTTGTCTGTATTTAAAAGGTAGAAGGAGCAGGGCGCTTGGGTGGTTCAGTGGGTTAAGCCTCTGCCTTTGGCTCAGGTCATGGTCTCAGGGTTCTGGGATCGAGCTCCACGTCAAGCTCTCTGCTCAGTGGAGAGCCTACTTCCCTCTCTCTCTCTGCCTGCCTCTCTGCCTGCTTGTGATCTCTCTCTCTCTCTCTCTGTCAACTAAATAAATAAAATCTTAAAAAAATAATAATAATAAGGTAGGAGGAGGGACACCTGGGTGGCTCAGTTGGCTTAGGATCTGCCTTTGGTTTAGGTCATGATCCCAGGGTCCTGAGATCAAGCTCTACATGGAGCTCCCTGCAGCTCCCCTGCTGTGATATCTCTCTCTCTCTCTCTCTCTCTGTCAAACAAGTAAGTCAAATCTTTTTGAAAATAAAATAATAAAAAAAACACTGAAATAATCAATGGTAAAACAGTCCATCACACAACTTAGATGGAAATACATGTACTCTTATCTTTTGTTTGTTTGTTTGTTTTTAAGATTTTATTTATTTATTTGACAGACAGAGATCACAAGTAGGCAGAGAGGAAGGCAGAGAGAGAGGCGGAATCAGGCTCACTGGTGAGCAGAGAGCCCGATTCAGGGCTTGATTCCAGGACCCTGAGATCATGACCTGAGCCAAAGGCAGGGACTTAACCCACTGAGCCACCCAGGTGCCTCTGTTTATTTGTTTTTAAAGATTTATTTATTTATTTATTTGAGAAAGAGAGCAAGCGCAGTTGGGAGGGGGAGGGGAAGAGGGAGGGAGAAACTCATGCAGACTTCCTGCTGAGCACAGAGCCCAACTCAGGACTCAATTTCATGACCCACAGATCACTACGCAAGCTGAAACCAAGAGTTGAACACTTAACAAAAGACTGTGCCACCCGGTTACCCACCCCTTTTTTAAAGATTTATTTACTTATTTGCAAGAGAGAGTGATCACTTCAGATTCTTGCTGGCATGTAGGTCTAAAATAAGCTACAGTGTTGATATTCATAACTGGCAGCTGACAACACACCCACTGCTACCCACATTGCATATCTTCCAAATAATATCCAGAA